GTAGGGACCTTATTCTTGCTGCCAGAGGCTGGGTTAGATTGTCCTTCGTTTTATGCTGATGTCTTGTTACACATTAGAGGTATATCTCTATGGGGTGGGGCGGGGGGGATGGGGAGTGTGATTGGCCACCTCTGTATTAGGATGTCTATTTATATAGCCTGGCATTGCCTGGACTGTGATGAGTCCCTGGTACAAACTGGGAGAACAGCCCAATGGGAGCACTGCCCTTTTAATGCCAGAGGTGGGCATGCAAATCAAGGATAAGACAGTGTTTCCAATCCGGTCCCTGGGGACCTGCGGACAGTCCACGTTTTTGCTCCATCCCAACTCCCAGTAGGGAGCAATAATGTGGACGGTCTGGCAGGGAGCTGGGAGGGAGCAAAAACGTGGGCCGCCCATGGCTCCCTAAGGACTGGGTTGGGAAACACTGAGATTCGGAATATGTCACAGCCTTTTGCCGGGATTAACCTGCCTAAACCAGTCAGGATTTTGTGTGAATAAATTAAACACAGTTTTTAATGGCTTTCAGTCTGGTTTACTGGTTGAAAAGGCGGAAGGAAGTAACACAGGGGGTATGGTTTGTTCAGAATAAATGTGAGGAAGAGGAGGGAGAACAGAGGAAGAAGTGGCTGGCTCCATCGTGCAGGGAGCACTCGAATCTGGGCAAAGTTCTTTGTGTCGCGAAGAATGCTACATGTTTACATCAGGATAAATAAATCTGAGTGTCAGCGTGCTGCAAGTCAGCCCTCCCCATATTCATGGCTCTTACCCCCCGTCGGCTGCAAGGGCGAAACCTGACCTCACAAAGTAGCCCTCTCTGCCGCCCTACAGCCATTATTCCCCCCCCAGCTCTCCGTGAGTTGGCTGCCTGCCAACTCCCAGCTCCATTAGCTTAATGAGCTCTGACAGCCCGCGGCTGGCCTTCTCCTAATCGCTGCTAGAACCCCAGTCAGGAGCACGCTGGACCGGCCTCCACAGCTCTGAGACAGGCTGCAGAAAGGGGGAAGCTTATCGCTATGCATGCATTACATCCACGGAGTAAAGGGAAACACCAGTAAACAGTGCCACATAGCCGGCCTCAATAAAGAATATGCAAGCAGAGAAACACATACCCACAAAAGTATACAGGCTGTGTACAGAATACATTACACACACATACATGCAGAAATGTGCATGCATGCAGGCCAAAACTAATACATATGATTGCAGTCTACATGCACAACAAGCAAACAGACTTACAGATATGTCGGCTTTTTTTGTTTCGTTCTGAGTGGCTGCCCTCCCCCCCCCCCGCAGTGGTTAGGATCTCCCTGGGGGCCATGTTACACAGCCCACCCCTCCTGGTAGCACTTGGAGCCAGTCAGCCATTTGTCCTCACCACAAGAAATCCAAACAAAGAGAGTCTGCCTTCCCTGGCCTCCTCTGGAGTTCTGGGGTGGTCATTAATCAGACCCTTGACAGGCCTGGTCCTCACCCTCTGTCTGCCCCACCCGCTCTCTGTACGTAGACCTTCTCCTCACAGCTAAGAGGTGGCAGTTGGCCTCATCCTCGGTGGCTTGCACTTTCTACAAAGTGCCCTCAGTTATCCTGAGCTGTAAGGAACACGTGGGACATGTAGATGCTTCCCTTTTGTCATGGTGCTTGATCTTAAGTGTTCTATCTCTGTTATCATGCTGAATAGTCCTTCTGCATCGAACAGATCAGTGCCAGGGGCTTGCAGCCCACTGTGCCAGTGTCCTAAACATCCCTGTGTGGGGGTACAGACACCAGCCCATCGCTACCGTGCCCCAGCACGCCTGACCCCCAAAGTCCAGTATGTTTGACTAGTGTGATCGCTCCGTATCGTGCTCTGACCCATTTGGAGAGGTGGCCCAGAGCACGATTACTCACACCCGGGCACGGTACAGATGTAGCGTGATCTCTAACCACGACATGACGTCAACTATTTGACTGACACCCGCATGTGCACAGACCTCGGAGGGAACGGATCGTGTGGAGCTGTACAGATCACGCCATTTTCTTCCCTGCAGAACTGCGTTGTGAAAAAATAGTGTGTGGGGAGAGTATTGGGGGCTAGAGGACGGGGGGGATCCGTATGGATTGGATACGATTCATTATACGGATTTTGAGAGGGCGATGTGCTGGCGAATGAAAAAAAAAATGTTAGCATGTAAAACCATAAAATGTATTTTCTCCATGATCAAACTTCATCCACTAAATAAATAGTGAATGAACAATATAAGCACCTATAAAGGCTACAGCAGCTTCATCTGCTTTCTTCCATTCATCTGCTGAATGAACTTTTAAAAAGTGTGATGTCACAAGTCCATCCAGGCAGCCAGACCGTCTGCCAGCGACCAAACCCTCAGATGTAGACCTTACTATAGATGCAGCTCACTATAGTGCAGTACTCGGGCTGGGCACCATGGCAGTCAGTCAGCCCATGCCGAGGCGGTGGCTGAGGTATGTTACACACACACTACCCTTCAGCTCAAGCTGAGTGAGCAGGATGCCGGTGCTGAAACGGCCTGAACGAATGACATCCCCACTAACTGTGCCGTAGCAGCTATACCTTTCAGTCAGCCTCTATATATCTCAGCATCTACTGGTCTGCAAAGCTCACAGATGAGCTTATAGATTGATACGGTTTGTTATTCCCATGCTGATCCTGCCTATAGTCAGTGGTGGAATGATGTCAGGTCCAGAAAGTAAAAATCCAGACCAAGATTTTGTTTCAACCAACCAGCTAGTTGTACAACGAGTATTCGGTGACTGTGACTCTTTAGGCTCACTTGGTTGGTTGAAACAAAATCGTGGTCTGGATTTTTACTTTCCGGACCTGAACTTTCCAACTCTGCCTATAGAGTCAGTTTCAAACGCACCTACCTGCTTAGGTTCGCCCCTGTAGCCTGTGCCTTTGGGTGTGCCCTGCAGAAAACGTGCCGCTTTTCGCCTCCTGGCTGGAATGTAAGGAAGAAACGGCGCCTATGCTGTCTCATCTTTCAGCAGAACATGAGCCCTGAAAGCTTCCCAGGTGTCTCTGCAGACAGAGAGGTTTGGAAACAGTCTGCAAAAGAGAGCAGGTTTACTTTCTACTGAGAGGCAAATTAAACAGGAGCCTGAGAGGCAACATTAGGGTGGTTAGGAGACAGGAGCAGATTAGGGCCTATCGTTCTAACTTCAGTGAAGGTGAAGGGGGATTCAGTCACTCTTCATGCACACTGGCATTTAACAACCAAATCGACGCACAAATTGGGCACCAGAACTCGGAAGCTAATTACGGTGTGAATGTACATCATGCGTATTTACTAGGGATGCTCCTTTTGACCGTTTAACCGTTAACCGAAATAATTAATTTTGACCGAATATTACT